CCCACCTGGCCTAGCCAGAGTGAGGGGGCAGCTGCCGGTCTCCATGGGGATTAATCTCCAAGAAGGTCATCAAGGTTCTGGTACTGCCTTGGCTGGATAGGGATTAGCACCTGGGTGTGAGCCCCCACTCCCCAGTCTCTCCATTTTCACACAGACCCTGTGAGGCCTCCAGGCCCAGAAGTTCCAAGGCTGAGCCAGAACCGCCAGAGTGAGTGGGGGCAGGGCATCTGCTCAGCTATTGGCCTGTCCAGCTGTGACCTTAAAGGGTGGGATGAAGTCATGCCCATCACTGTTCTGTGCCCTCAAGTGTGAACCTTGTACCGGTCTACGTTCTCTCTTTTAATGGGAGAACAATCCATAGATCACCCCACACAGGGGCATCACCAACCTTGCCCCAATATCTCTGGCTGTTTCTATTTGCAGCCCACCTCTAGATCCTCCCTTGGGGGTGTGTCATTTCCACACCCCAGTGTGTTTTCACAGTGCCCTATCCTTCCACACCTTCTACCTTTATCTATTGGACCTCTAACTCCACTCACTTCTCTCTGCTGTTCCCATCTTCTGCTCTCTCACAAGGTCACTCTGTGTGATCTCTTATTGTCTCTACCTCTGGTCTCCCCCTGGGTCTTGCTCTTGCTGTCAAGTGAGCCTGAGTGCTCACCTATGGTTCTGACATGGCTCCACTCTCAGCTGCATGCTCTGCCTTCTGCCTTCCCTTTGGCCATTTCTCCTCTGCTCTTTCACAGTCCACCCCCCAACCCTCACCCTAGGCTACTCTGATTGCTCATTCCCTTTCCCTCTTCCCCACTACCTGTTCCCTCCCCTACCCAGGCGATGACAGGGAAGACAGGAAGCAGGCTCTGGCTTGGAGCAGGAGGGGGAGGGGCAGCCTGCACACCAGCTGCTGGGTACCCCCCTCCATCCCAGCACCTGCAAGCTTGCCAGGCATCTGCAGACTCCACCCCAGTCCAATGGGGGAGGGATCCAGAGGAGAGACCAGATGCCCCACCATGGCCTGGAAATGCTGGTCTTGGAGATAGTTAGGGAGTGGAGTCTGGGAAAGAAGCCTTAGGAAGGGGCTGTAGTCTTCATCACCAGGCCAGGCCCCAGCCCACTACATACTCTCTTTTGCCACCCTCCTTCCAAGGACTGCTTTTGTGTGTGTTGGGGGTCCATTCCAAGGTCACACCTCTGTCGTGCAGTCTCAGGATCTGGGACCCCTGTGGAAGAGGAGGGCTAGCCCATTGCCATGATTGGAGAGGGGAGAGCATGCTTTCAAAGACATGGGAAAGGTGTGCCAGGCCAGGCCTCTGACAGGTAAATCATTCAATGCTGGCAAGCAGAAAAGACTGGACTCGGGAAAGAAGCCTGGTCAGGGAGGCCAGGATGGGGATTGCACACACCCAGCTGGGGACACAGGGGTCTAACTTGGTCTCAGGGGTAGCTCCTCCAAGAACCCTCCCTCTTCAGCAGAGCCACCACACAACCATCCCACAGGGTGGTGGAGAGGACAAGTCAGCACCCCTACGAATATTTGTCTGACCCTAGTTCTCAGCTCCCTGGCAACTGCACATACCTGGTATGTAGGGGTACAACTCTCCCACAGTGCATCTTGACCCTAATGGGAAAGCAACCCTGGCTCCTTATTGTTGTCCAAGGAACCTTTATCCACCCCCAACTTACAGCTGGTCTCTGTCACCATATATTCCCAGGAGGAGCAATGGAGGGTAGCTGGTGTCACAGAACAGACTCATCCCTGGCCCAGCCTACCCCTCAAGTCTTGTGTGCAGCCCTGGGTTTGGGAGCCCCAGCCAGGGTTTAGGACAATCCCAGTACCCTCTCCTGCAGGCCAGGTCACAGCATTTTAGGTAATCACCCAACCCAGCTCTGGGCTATGGCTAATGATCCAATGACTGACCCTGCCTGAGCTATGAGCTACTTTGGCTCAGTCCAACCCAGCTGACTAGGCTGCAGTGAATACAAGATTATGGAACTTGAGAAAAGGGGTGAGCTTCTGTGTCTGAGGACCCTGTGTCCTGTTCCACATCTGCTGATCTCAGATATGATTGGACTGAAAGAGGGCAGTGACAGGAGCGAAATCTCAAAATGGTAGCCACACCAAAGAGATCTGCAGGGGTGCATCTGAGTCTCCACAGAGGTCCTAGGCTCACAAACACCCAGATTTTCCACACCTCATAGCTCTGGCTCCAACTCCTGGGTGGTCCAGGAGCCCAGGGACCAGGATCCCGAGTAGTAGAAACCCTCTCACTCGTGGGAGGCCTGGCCAACTCCTTCATTTTGCAAATGGGAGAACCGAAAGACTGGGAAAAGACTTGCCAAAGGCCACAGAAGTCGCTGGGGCAGAGTCTGACTAGAATCCACCTCCAGAAGGGGATCTGTTCTGGACCCCAGCCCATTCTGCCACCCGTGGAGCCTGCTCAGCCCGCATTACCCGGCAGCGAGCTGTCCTGACAGCTCAGAGTCTGCGGGCAGGGCAGGTGGGGCTGGATGGGAGCAGGATGTCGCCCTCCCCCAACGCCCCGGGCGGGCGCGGTGCGAAGCCTCTGCGACCCATATGGTGACGGCGGCGGCTGGCAGGTGCTTGCGTGGCGATCCGGCCGGCCCCAGGGCTGGTGCTGAAAGGCCGCCCCTGCCTCACGCGAGCCGAACGAACAAAACGCTCAGGTCCGGTTTGTGCGAGGGGCTCGTCGCGGGGCGGGAGCGGGGGGCCCGGGGTCTGGTGGTGGCCCTCGGCGATCTCCGGGTCATGGTCTTCCTCCCTCGCAGCGCTGCACAGCGCCTAGCGGCTAAGCGGCAGCTCTCACCTGCGCATGGTGGTGGCTGACACGTCGGCTGCCCGGCGGCCGCCGCAGGTGCACACCTGGCCCGCCCCTCCCTTCCTGGCCTCCCTCCACTGGCTTTCCTGGCCCCTCCGTCCAGCCCAGCCCGGCTTGGCTTCGTCCCCAGCCCACGCCCAGGAGCTTGTGCCTGAGCCGGGGCTCAGAGCACTCTTATACTTCCAGTTCAGTCCCCGCCCCTGCACACACACACACACACACACACACACACACACACACACAAACACACACCTGTCCAGGCGCCCGTTTGCTCGGGGCAAATATTGACTCATGGAGGCGGAGCGCCCCCTCCCCCGCGCCCCAGGCTCTGAGACCAGGCCTTGGCGGTGGGGGTGGGTTGAGGGGGTGGAGGGGAGGGTGCCGGGGACCTGGGCGCCTCTGGAACAACACCAGATGTCACTTTTCCACCCACCTGGCTCTGAGCTCCGGGGAGGAGCAGAGGACAGAGGCTGCCCGGCGGGGGTTAGGGAGAACAGAGAGGCGGGTGTCTTAGGGAAGACAGAACATCTCTGGGTCTGGGTGTGTGTGCGTGGTGGGGTCTGTTGGCAATGGAAGTCGCTCAGTGAGATCTGTGGCCTGCTAAGCCGGGGCCTCGAAACGTGCCCAGACCCCAGTTCCTGGCCCTCTCTGCAGTGTACCTCAGTTTCCTTCTTAATCTCTTAGCAGAGTTTAGGGAAGCAGGCAAATGCTAACAGGCTGGCCCCCCGGGTGCTGAACCTCGGAACACATGCATGGGGCAGTGGGAAAGAGAGCCTACCCCGCCTCTATGGCCTCCTGTGTGGCCGACCAGGCCTGGTGCTCGGTTCCTGTTCACAAAGCTAAGCTGGAGCAAAAACCACCTATGCCCTTCCAGGAGCGCCCTCCACTGGCCAGACCGAGTCCAGCGCCCCACCTGGAGCACTGAGCCCTCTTCTGCATCCAAGGGAAACTCATCCTCTGCAGCCCACACTGGCCTCTCCCACCTCCCACACATCTCAGCGCCCGCTCTTTTCCCCAGGTAGGGGGAAATAAAATCTAGGCAGACTGAACCAGTGTCCAGTCTACAAAGAGGAGGGTCAACACGGAGGAAACATTTCCTCCCTGCTTCCAAGGGAAGCCAGCCATAGTTGAGCAGGATCTTTGACTTATCTTCACATAGCCAGAACTGGTAAAAGAAAGGAGCCAGGGGCTCCTCCCAAGCCCATGTGACCCCTGAGGAACAGATTCTCAAACGACCTTAAGAGTAAAAATAAATCAGTTTATCCGGACCAACTGTATGGCCTTAAACACCCAAAAGGAAAGTATAACCAAAGATTAAAGGGCCCTGTTCCTTTGAGTTATTGGCCAGGGTGGCCCAAAAGACTCCCAGACAGTAACCCCAGCATAAAACTGGGAAAATGAACAGCAGACCCCAATCTTATCTAAAGGAATATTGACAACTGATTGCTGCTAGATGAGGAACAGCTGATCTTCCTAAAACAAGGCTCTCTACAAAGGCTGACTAGATTCAGTAGATGGACAATCACTGGGGAATGGCCAGGGGCACAGACAACACAATGGACAGTAACAGGGATGACAAAGTATATGGGCTCCAGTGTGTGGGAGGGGGGGAGCTATGGGAAGGTGCAATTTGAGAGTGGATATATAGATGAATAAGATTGCGTGGGATGTTCTGTATGATATACACAAAAAACAATCAGCAAATTTTTAAAAAGACATATTTGAGGAGGAAGCATAAAATTTACTTCATATTAATTAGTAGAGGTGATAAACATTACCATTGAAATCTACCTGATGACTTTATATCCATACTCAGGTACTAAGGATCCGAGTGTAACTGACTGTGACTAGTAATAATCAGATACATAGAGATTAAAGACATAGGTGTAAACATCTAAGTGTTAGTAGCATTAAGAATGTAGGAAACAGCATATTTTAAAATGAAATGGAGATCTTCTTTAAAGGTTAAAAACTCATTCAATTTTATGTCTTATAGGTTTATACTGAGTTCAATATTGTATAACCGTATTAACTCAACCATGAAACTAAAAATTTACAGCCACTTTTGAAAGAGATGTATCCTTGCTCTGGAAATTGTTACTGAATATGTTAAAGCTGTAATAAAATGCTTCTTCTAAAATAAAATCCAGGTAGATATAGAAAAAAGGCTAAATGCTTTACTGGTAGAGCGATAGAGAGAGGACCAGGAACAATTTAGGGAGGCATGTAGGTGGGGCTGGACTCAGACAGCAGCAAACAGTTGGTAGCTGGTGGTACCGCTGAGCAGAGTACTTCCCCTTGCCGCATTGGCAACAGTGTGTCTGTCCTAGAAAACAGAAAGTCCCAGGTCCGGTGAGGGTGGTGAGGGTGAGGGTAAGGGTGAGGCTTCTGGCCACACCTGCACACCCCTCCTGCCTCTTGTACCCCAGCAGCACAGTGAATGTGACCCCAGGTTCCCACCTATGCACACTAACTGGTGGCAGGGCGATAATGCGAGGCCTCGAAGTGAGCACCACCTCTCCACGGCTAGCCTCCACCAGTATGTTCTGGATTATATTCTCTAGTAGAGCCTCCTGAAGATTGGCAAAGGCAGATAGCCTAGGGGGGGAAAGGGGGACAGTGGCTAGTGAGGTCACAGACTTGTGAATCACTTCTAGACTCACTGGCCTACAGTACCTTGTTCAGTCTTCTCTATGCAGATTCTCCCTGAACTCCCTGTCCCAGTCCCAATACATCTTGTTGCAATTTCACAGATGCTAGATGTGTGACTAAAATAGATAAGTTGCAGAAGACATGCTGCTGGCAAAGCAGTGGGATTCAAACCCAGGCACAGTAGTTGCCATACCAGAACCAGGTTTAGAGGACAGCAGTGATGAGAGGATGCAGAAGACACTGTATGGAGCTATGGAATCCCAAAAGGATAGAATGCATTGCCACCTCCTCAAAAAAAAGCTCCAGGAAAATGTGGTATCAGAAGGAATCGCACTTCTCTGACCTCTGGAAGAGACTTTGAAGATTGCCCCATACTGCTGGTAAATGTTATAATCCAGATCGATCTGTCTGTCTGTCTGTCTATCTGCCTGTCTCTCTATCGGTTGTCACTAGACTCTGAGTTAGGAAGAGAGTCAGTAATCACACACAGGTAGGGGCCAGCTTAAGCATACCATTCTTCCCAGCCCTCATTGGGGCCTGGCCTGGCTCACCTTCCAATGGCCTCCTTCTCATCATTTTCTTGCTCCTCCTTCATCATGATTTTCAGGTCCTGCTGCCATTGCCACTGCAGGGACTGTTGAGACCCAGACAGCTGTGCAGCCTTAATCTCTGACCAGGTCAACCTCACTTCCTTCTCTATCTCCTCCTCCATCTCCTCCTTGCCCAACTCCTCCTCTTTTGACTCCTCTTCCTCCTCTTCTGCCTCCTCCTCTTCTTCCTCTTCCTCTTTGTCCTCCTCCTTGTTCCCCTCTGCCTTCTGCTCCAAGCTGCATTTGTCTTCCCCCAGCTCCTTGCCTTTCTCGTCCTCACAGAAGTTGGGCAGGGACAGGATTGGCATTAAATACAGGCTGCTCTTCTGGGCCATAAACCTGGCTGACTGCTCATTCCAGAACTGGCAGAAGTAAGGTACCTGCTCCACCAGGCTTTGGTCCACAGCCTGATGGAAATTTTTATCTTCCAGCAGACCCCTTGGAGGGAGGAAAGGAGAGATAGAACTTAACGAAGGGATTTACAACCCCCTGGGAACCTTGGCTTCCCTACTTCCCAAAGGACAGCTCTCACCTACTATTTTTCCTAGTAAGTGATAGGTGGGGGAGGAGAGCCCTTGGAGCAAGGTATCTTTGAGTCCTGTGGAGTCTTAGAAATGAATAGGATGTGGTACAAGCAGAGCCAGCAGGTCAGAATGACACAGATAAAAGGCAGGATTCCTGAGGTGACAGGGAACTAGCTCCAGACCTCATCAGACCCAGCCACAGAAAGTGACAGAATCAGGCCTATCTATCCTGAAGGTCCCTCTAGCTAGTTCTATTAGACCTGTTCTCTCCTAGGGGTCCTGGGCCACCAGTAGAAGGATGTTGCAAGAGAACTCTCCATTTGTCAAGAAGGGATTGCTGAGGCTTCAGAAGCTTTGGTTAATAGAGCTAGAGAGATAGAAGAATGAGAGGGAAGATGCACAGAGCCCTGAGTACCTGATGATGGTGGTGAGACAGTCGACTAGAAGCTGTTTCTTCTGCTTAGAGACAGGAGCCTCTTTGTCAAGGGGTTTGCCTTCAAAAGAGGGTGTCCTCCCTTCCCTGGAGGCTTTCTTCTTTGGCAGCTCCCTGGGGCAGATCAGGACATTCTAAGTGGTCTGGGGAAAGCCACCATGCTGGGGAGGGGGGAGCAAGCCACAGTGGTAGCTGCTCTGTCATGAGGACATAGATGTGCTGGACATACTCCCGGTCTTAATGAAATGTAGCTACTGTACCCAAAGAGCCACACCCAGCCCTGAGGTCAGTGGAGGACTCAGAGGCTCCAAGTTGGCAAAAGGAGGGAGAAAGTGTGGGAAGCCTAGATGGGTTCCCCAGTGCATTTTTTATTTCCTCACAAGGGCCTAGGCAGTAATGGGTATCTTGGGCCCATGGTATCCAGTGAGTCCCAATGCCCCTGTTCTTGCTTCAGTCCTCCATAAAGGTTGGGTGTGGGTGAAATGGGTGAAGAAACTAAGATTAGAAGAAGATGACCATGCCTCCCCAAGAGTTCACCTGTACAAGAAGTGGCAGAGAAACTCAGAGAAGAAGTTGGTCAGGTAGTAGTCGGTGGCATGGGCCCGGGCAGTGAGGCTCAGGTAGAGCAGACCTGGCACAGGTGGCTGGGGGCGTGACCAGCATTTCTCCTCCTTTACTATTTTCAAGTTCCAGCTGGCAGGCCGGCTGAGAGACGGCTTGTTTGTGATGGGAGGCAGTGTCTTTGGGAAGAAGCAGCATGGGTGATAGGGTAGTCATACTCCTGTGTCCAGTGGGTCTCCTGTTCTAACCCCCTAGGGCTGTGGACTCACCCATTAGTACTATCCTCCCTTCCTTCTAGAAGTCTGGCTCAGGGATTGGAAGCATCTCTGGGGACAAGCAAGGACCTCCCAAATCATCCCAAGAAGAATGGCTTGGGGCTTTATGACTCACCTTGTACTTTCTCACAGGTTCACAGGCTACACAATACATTTGTCTCTGTGGAAACAGAGATCCTAGCTTAGGATCTGACAGGTCCAGCCCAGACCCACTTCTATCTCTCTGGATAACCAGGTCCAGATTCTGTTTACCTCTTGATCCTGCCTACCTTCTAATGCCACCCTTTTCTAGTACCTTCTCTAGCTAAGTGCTGCCTGGGAACAGATAAGAAAAATCTGCTTAATCAGGTAAGGACAGAGGAGGAAATGCCACTAAATGTGGACATGCTGCCCTCCAAAGGTGTTTGCCCTTGTGCCCTGTGGTTGTGTGCCTCAGACAGACAAGGAATCAGCCTGCATTCTGGAGACTATATTGGAAAGCACTCCACTTCCCTGTGGGAAAGGATCTATATTCATAGGAGGCCAAGCTTCAGAGGGAGCAGAGCCTTTCTGAGAGCTCTGTGTGGTGGTCCCAGAGGTGACTGTGAGATAAAAACACCAGTATGGGCAGGCTGTGAAACAAGGAGGAACCTATATTTTTATCTTGGGTTTGCTATTGCTCTCCCTGAAGAAATATGAAGAGCCTACGTTTAGGGACTGTTTGGTGGGTACTGGGTTCAGTTGTAGGCACGTTGTATATATTAGTTCTTTAAAATCTCTCAACAATTGCTACAAAGAAGATGTTTTACTAGCATTAAAACATTTATTTTTAAGATTTATTTTTACTTTATGTGTATGATTGTTTGCTTGTATGTATGTATGTGCACCACATGTTCCTGATGCCCACAGAGGCCAGAAGAGGGCTCTGGATCCCCTGAAACTAGAGCTACTGGTGATTGTGAGCTGCTATGTGGGTGCTGGGAATTGATCCTAGGTCCTCTGCAGGAGCAGCAAATGGTCTTAACTGCTGAGCCATATCTCCAGCCTCAAAACATATTTTAAAACATTTTTTGACTGAGTGTAGTGGCTCATGTTTATAATCTCAGCACATGGGAGACTGAGGCAGGAAGATTTCTGAGTTTGATACTGCCCTGTTTCAAAAAGAAATCAAACCAAACCAAACAAAAACCCCACCATTGTTTTGTAGACAGAAGGGGACCAAATGGTACAAAGAATCCCCTCATGGCCAATTTTGTCTCATCTGCTCCTCACCTGAAGCAAACCCCTACTTCATGTTCCTTTTCATTTTATAGTCATGAACTGAGAGGTTAAGTAATTTAACCAAGACCACAGAAGTATCAATGGCAAAGCCAGGAATAAAACCTGGAGATATTTCCAGAGCTTGTACCCAAAGCCACTGGGTTACAGAGTGCTCCCTCAGGTGAGGTCTCTGTCATTTCATGTTCCCAGCACTCACCTTGCAACAGGCACTCATGAAATTCTGCCCTGTGAAGCAGGGAATGGTCAACCATCCTCACCTTCACTTTCCTATCTGTGATGGTGAACTCCACCTCCTGCCGTGCCTTCTCTTCATTCCATTCCTGTAGCTCTTTGTGGTACTGCCTCATGAGTTCCTGCCGGTATACCTGGGCCCAGCATAAGGTGAGAGAAAGCCTCAATATGGAAGGTCTTAGATAGAGCTTACCTTGGGCCTGCGCTATGAGCCTCTAACCCTTCTAAGAACTGGCTCCTGCCTTTTTCTGAGGGTCTGGGGACCTCAGAGCCCTTCCGTACCCCAGGATTAGGAACTATTCCTCCACACCTGTATATCTCTTTGTATCTGGTCCTCACCTTGCATATCAGGTCCACACTGTAGAAGCTGGCATGCACTGAGGCCTTCAGGGTCACCAGGATTGGGACTGCCTCTTCAGGAGCCAGTTCTCCTTCTATGGGACTCACAGATACCTGTTGGTTTGGGGAAGGGGTCTGTGGATTAGGTAGGATGACACAGGAAAGGAAGAGGCAAGGTGATACAGCATGGGACAGGCTAGGATGGGTTGACATGGGGCCATGAAGGATGCATCTGGAGCCTTGCTGGGCAAATGGAGTCTCACCTCACCAAAGTCTAAGGGCCTTGACTGCCAGGTGAAGACAATTGATTCATTCTTGGAGATATTGTTGAGAAAGAGCAAGCGGCTACACTTGCTCTGCACAGGGATGTTTCCCAGGGAGATATGAGACTGAGACAGGAAGACATTCTGTTGGTGAAGATAGCACAGCATCAACTTGGGAGATGAAAAATAACCATAGAAACACTGCTGGGTCCTTAGCATTTTCAAAAGCCCAAGTACTGTGTCAGATGCTTTCCACATATCTGACCCTCATGATGGGTCTCACAATAGGTGAGACTATTTCCCATTGGATATATTGGATGTGTCACTAAGGTTCAGAGAGCACAGATAACTTTTCCAAATACCTCTCACATGCATAATTTGGGTAACGCCAGAAAGACTCACTCTGAAGCCTATGATTTCAACCATTAAAGCAAGTTTGGAAGGTCAGAACTTGTTTAGAGAAGACAGAACCAAAACCAACTTAAGTTGAGCCTCTAACAGATAGTTATAAATGAACAGGTGACCAGCTTTTGATGTCTTCATTAGGCACAGACTAGCTGTGTTATAGGATTGTCTGGAAAGACTGAGCCCACACACAGAAGGAGAACGTTCTCACTGTCTAGACCCTGAATGCTTCCATGGCAGGGGTTTTGTCTGGCTCTTCTCTGTGTCCCCAGGGACTCCACAGTGCTCATCCTTCATTAGGGATCCATTGGGTGTCTGACTAGAAGAGTAGACAAGTGAATAGTGATTGGATGGGTGGGTCCATGGATAGATGGACATAGGTCAGTAAGGAGTATGTGATAATGATAGAGTGCATATATTGGTAGTTGGATGGATAGGCAGATAGATAAATGAATGGGTCAGGCCTCCTACCAATGGACTAAACGTAGTATTATTGACCCTTACTGTATTTAGTAAAATCCGTTTGGATTCAGGAGAAGGACTGCTCTGTACGAAGATAATACCTAGAATAGGAGGACTTGTTTCTAGATCTTGCAGCATCCCCAGGCCCATGTTCACAGAAAAGTCTGGGCTCAAGGGTCCGGAAGAAGGTGGAGTAACCTAAGCAGGGACATGTGGGCATTAGCCTCTTGTAGAGCTATACTGCCTTTAAAGCTGGAGCCAGGCTGGGCCCAGGTGTCACCTCTCTATGTATCCCTCCTCAACACATCTCTTTTTCTCCCTAGCCTCCACAGGCCTCTGTACTGGCCACCCTGGACTGTAGGGCCCTCCTCCATGACCTCAGGCCTTCCCAGCTCCCTTTCTCCCACCTGTCCAGGAACCATCAGCTTAGAGTATATAGAACTGTTGTCCCACGAGGAGATGTTGTGAAAAGGGGCTGTGTCACCCATAACATAGGGGTCATATCCCACTCCTTGGAAGCGAATGACTGCTGAATTCCATCCCAGGATGTGTATGGGTACATCCACCTGGGAAGTTAGAGAGGTGGAGGAAGGAACTGGTAAGATCAACACGTGGTGAAGAAACTATAGCTCCAACCCCCTGTATTGTCCAGGCCACTGCTCACTGTATAGGTTTTGGCTTCGATGGGTGAGAAGATCCACAGGACCTGAGCAGTAGTTCCTGGCTGGATCTCCCCTTTGGGGTTCAGGCAGCAGAAGATAGGATGGTCAAAATTTTTTTCTTGAACCTGTGACAGGACGCTGGTCTGGACTTCATATGTCACAGGCACTGAGCCACCATTATACAGCTCATAAATCTGCAGGGGGAAAGGAATAGGGAGATCTCCAACCAGCTCAAAACTGTAGACCAGATAGCCTAGGGCTCTGTCCATCTTGGGGCAGCAGATTGATTTCCACAATCAATGTGAGAGTCCCTGAGCTCCCCAAAGACCTATGGTCCCCAAAAATTTCCAACTATGGTTTGATCACTTGGATATTCAGCCTATAACATTTTAGGATACTTTACATTTCTGCTTATAAAAGAGCAGCTCATTTATTTGCCCTCAATTTACATTTGCCAAGTTTATCATAAAAGACCCCAGTGTAAGTGTCCTTCATGTTGGGACTTGGAGGATATA